ATTACCCCCCCCCCCCCCCCCCCCCCCCAGCTCTTCTCGTTTCCCTTTTCGAGCCAACGACTGAGAACTAAGTTGGCGCCGGGCTTTTTGCTGTCTGTCTGTCTGTCTGTTCTGTCTTTTTTTGGGGCAAACCCCAGCATTCAGCCCTGAGATTTGGTAACATGGAAGCCCCAATTGCGCCCTGAGTGAGGGATCAATCCCCTGTAATCACCATCACAAGCTAGCCTCTGCACTGTTGCATTTCGTCAACTCTCTGCCTGCACCACATCCAGAGGCCATTGATCACGTTGCCCATCAACGCCTCTCAGCTGCTCTTGACATGGGCCTCTCTAGTTGATTTAATTTGTTCAGCCGCTCCGACACCCTGCCTGTGGAAAGGTGATCGAAATTGCTGGGGAATTTATGCCGATTGATTGATTAATCATCCGGCTCTGTTGGCCGATGCAGCCCTGCAACCCTCCATTTTTTTTTGTCCATGTACCTACACATGTCTCGAGATGGACTACAAAAAAAAAGTCACCAGTTCGTGTCAGGCCATGACAAGGCTGGCTCCGTCTCACCACCCAGAAACCATCCTCGCCTGCAACATATTCGCCTTCTCGACTCTGCAATTCTGCAATTCTCTGCATCCCTCTCGCCCTTCTGTTCTGCGCGAGTCAGCTCGCCATTTGCCGTCTGACATGCTGCTAGGCTCGAACCGCCATCCGCCAGCCAACCGCCACCACAGGCAAGGCAAGGCAAGGCAAGGCAAGGCAAGGCCTGCATCAACCAATATCTCATTCAACATCCATGGTGACAACCTCGTCCCTTGTATCGTGCCGTCTCATGCTCTCGCCAAGACAAAAAAAAAGACAACCCAGCAGGATTTCTCCGTGCATCGCGTGGCCTCGGCCCAATCGTCCGCCTGGACCTCTCCAGATACCCCAGAGGCGGATGATCCGCACCACTTAGGCTAATGTCTATTCACTGGATCCGTCAGGCCAGCCAAAGCGCCGTCTCGACCCCGGGCTTCAGGTCCTTCAGGCTGTGGCTATTCCCAAACCGCCCTCCAGCAGAGGCGGACCAGAATCCTCCGCAACCTGCATCAGGCTTGGGCCTGGCCCCCCCCCGCATTGTTACGAGGGCCGAGAGTCGACGCCACGGCACCAATAGCCTCTTGACCGCAATCGTGTGAGAAAGGAGACGAGCCGTATAAGCGGCACGGCATGCCCAATTCCTGGGGGAGCTTCTTTTCGAATACTCCGCCCGTAACGACTTGCACCGGCGAAATTCAAATCCAAATCCTGCCTGAGATGGCTTGAGCAGCTGGTGCTGGCAAAGACGTTTAATTCGTACAAACAAACAGACGCTCGCCTCGCTTGATCGGGCCTATTGACAAGGGCTGTTTCCCGATCCTCAACAAGTAGCATTGCCACCTAGCATCCGGCCTGTCAAGCGTCAAGAGGCCTGGGGAAGGATTGCAACGCGGCAAGGGCATACATACAAGAAGCATAAAAGCGACAGTGCCCCCTGGCCATCAGGACTGCAACCTTTCTTTTCCTCTCTCTTCACCTCCTCCTCTCACTCGCAGTCTACAAATACTCGGGCTCTCCCATCAAAAAGACGGGGGCATTGCAGAATTCTCCCCTTCCCCCCATCAACCTCTCTCTCACACACACATCTGAAGAGCTGGTCTGGCCCCGAGAGGCTAGAGATACACCCCCTCGTTACAATGGGCGAAAAGGACGACATCCACACCCATGAGGAGCTCGACCATGTATGTCAAATCACCCAATTGCAGTTTTTCTCTCTGTGCTTTGTGCTCTTTTGCCACCTCGTTTTGTAAGAAACGAGTTGCTGACGCATTCTCATCTCAATGTAGGGAGAACTCCAGACCAAGGTCGTGACCGGGCACACGGCCTTTCAGGAGGCCATGATGAAGGAGCCGCCGAGGGCCTGGACCACGGCTCAGCTGCTCATCTACTCCTTCTCCATCGTTGCCTTTTTCTGCAGCACCATGAACGGCTACGATGGTTCGCTCATCAACAACCTGCTGCAGAACCCCTGGTTCCAGGAAAGGTACACCTCGGGAAACGACGGCATCTGGGCCGGCATTGTCTCGTCCATGTACCAGATTGGTGGTGTCGTCGCGCTTCCCTTTGTCGGCCCGGCCATTGACGGATTCGGCCGTCGTGTGGGCATGCTCCTGGGTGCCAGCTTCATCGTCATTGGCACCATTGTCCAGGGCGTGTCCAACTCCCAGGGCCAGTTCATGGGAGGCCGATTCTTGCTCGGTTTCGGCGTCTCCATTGCTGCGGCGGCTGGCCCCATGTACGTCGTCGAGATTAACCACCCTGCCTACCGTGGACGTGTTGGAGGTGAGCGATTCCTTTTGATTGATTGATTGATTGATTGATTTCCCCCATCTCATCATGTTTCGTTTCCCCCCTCCCTCCCCCTTGATTGGGACAATCGAAAAGGTCTTCAACAAGCGTGATGAGAAGAGATGAGAGCTAATTCTCCCAACTCCTTAGCCATGTACAACACCCTGTGGTTCTCTGGCGCCATCATCTCGGCCGGTGCTGCCCGAGGCGGCCTCAACGTCGGCGGTGACTACTCGTGGCGACTCATCACCTGGCTCCAGGCCCTCTTCGCCGGCCTCATCTGCATCTTCGCCATGTTCCTCCCCGAGTCCCCCCGATGGCTCTACGTGCACAACAAGAAGGAGCAGGCCAAGGCCGTGCTCACCAAGTATCACGGCAACGGCAACCCCGACTCTCCCTGGGTCCAGCTGCAGCTCTTTGAGTACGAGCAGCTCCTCAACATGGACGGTGCCGACAAGCGCTGGTGGGATTACCGGGCGCTGTTCCGCAGCCGCTCTGCCGTCTACCGTCTCCTCTGCAACATCACCATCACCGTCTTTGGCCAGTGGGCCGGCAACGCCGTGCTGTCCTACTTCCTCGGCTCCGTCCTCGACACCGCCGGCTACACTGGATCCATCCAGCAGGCCAACATTACCCTCATCAACAACTGCCAGCAGTTTGCCTGGGCCATCCTGGGTGCGTTTTTGGTCGACCGCGTGGGTCGCCGCCCCCTGCTGCTCTTCTCTTTTGCCGCCTGCGTCGTCGTCTGGCTGGGCATGACCATTGCCTCTGCGCGGTTTGCGGCTTCTCAAACCGGCGTCGACGCCGACGGTAACCCCATCTACAACAACCCTGCGGCATCCAAGGCCGCCTTGGCCATGATCTTCATCTTTGGCGCCGTCTACTCGGTCGGAATCACCCCCCTGCAGGCCCTGTACCCCGTCGAGGTGCTCTCCTTTGAGCAGCGTGCCAAGGGCATGGCCTTTTCCAGCTTTGCCACCAACGCCGCCGGTCTCCTGAACCAGTTTGCCTGGCCCGTGTCCATGAAGAAGATTGGCTGGCACACGTACATCATCTACACCATCTGGGATCTTGTCCAGGTGACTGTTGTCTACTTTTTCATCCCCGAGACCAAGGGACGCACCGTAAGTGTTGCTGATTTACTTGTTCTTCATCTACAGTGGCATTGTCTTTTTCTAACCCGTTGCTTTCTCTACAGTTGGAAGAGCTTGACGAAATCTTCGAGGCCAAGAACCCGGTCAAGGCGTCGACCGCCAAGAAGTCCGTTGCCGTGGACAGCCACGGTGGCATCGTTAATATCGAGAAGGCATAAGGGCGTGGATGTTTTTGCTTGTCATTGTGACCCACCATGAAAAAAAAAAAAACACTAATACCAAGGGCAGTTGTACGCAGGAATTGAGGCTGAATCGGTTGATGGTTGCTTGCGTTTCCACGGGACGGTCTTTTTTGGGATGGAGGGGAATTGTTTTTTTTTATTTTTTTCATTTTTTGCCATCTTACTGTATGTTTTCACGTAATGACATGAGGCTATGAGAGGGGGCCAGAGCGCAACAATGCAACATTCGGAATGACAACTGCCAAACAAACCGTACGGATCCATGTGTGCCTCTTTGTTCTCACGTGTCATGGATGAACTGAACTTGAGGCTATAGCCGCCATCTGCCTACCATTGCATATTTGGCAGAATCTGACTTTTGCCACCTCTAGTACCCAACTCTGTAGGCGAATGGTGTCTCGCGCGTGCGTGTGTACACAAGATGCTACTCTGCGGCAATGCAGTTAATATGGACGTGTTTGCCCGTCTAGGTATCTGGCAAGGCGGCAATTTACGGAGTATTACTGGCACGGGTGGCCATACACACTCTTTGTCGCCATCATGTGGTCCCTCCCCCGAGGGTCAGCGAATACTAGCAGTACCATCGATGCCGGTCAACACATGCACACACACACTCACAGGCATCCAGGCCCCTGGTCTCACGACATCCGTATTGCAACCCAACCTTGCCAACGTCTAGCGGCATCACCTGTATCCAGCCGCAGCTTAGTGGGATGCCCTCATGTTGGCAGTTAGTCGCCATTTTGCCCTGCGCTACCTGTTCCAAGTAGGTATTACTCCGGTAGCCAGTTGGATCAATACTCCGTGCCAGTAGAAACCCCCCCCCTCCAGAACGAGAGACATTAACCGATTTTGTTTATTGTTTTGCTCCACAGTCGTACTACTGTTTACTGTGCATACATGTACATACATGTGTACTACCTGGTAGCCAATAACCCCAATACAGGTACTACAGGTACTACCAGGTACTACTAAGCCCGTACGGATACTCGTACATACCTACTAAACGAGTAGAGGTAGTATTAGTTTAGTAGACTCCAGTATCACCACCTGCTTTGGCCCATTTTCCAGACCTCCGGAGAAGCTCTTTCCCCGCTACGGCCCAACTTCCCGCAAAGGGACTAGCCACCGGATTCCGCACCTGCCCACGGGGTATTTTTGGAGGGGGGATATTTGTGGGCAGGTGCGCCGATTTGCGATTTCGATTTGGGGAAGCGAGTCAAGAAGGTTGTGTGTGTGTGGTGCATATGCACTGCGACCATTTGAAAATCTGTTATTTTTTTAGTGGTGTTAGTGTGGATTCCAATATAGGTGTTTGATGGTACAGTAGCACTCGGTTCTTTGGTGAAGCTTACCCCGGATTTTTTCGGTGCCTTTTTTTTCTTTTTTTTTCTTTTTTTTTTTTCTTTTTTTCAAGGATTTATTCTTTGCTTGGAAGGAAAGAAGAGAAACCCCGGTTTCCACTCTTTTTTTTTTTTTTCCTTCAGCACGACGAAAAGAGTCGAGTCCTTTTTCTCCGAGGGTTTCACCACGGGGTTGTTGATGGATTGATTTTGTTCATTCTATTTCATTCTACCTTGCTTCAATTTTAATTCAATTTTTATTTTATTTGTCAGACATGGCTGGGCGGCATTGAGTAATTTTTGTCAATTATGCTGGATTGATTGATTGACGATACTTTTGATTGATTTTTCTTCTGCACTGTCGGCAAGCTCGACGCAAGAATCGCCCCCCCTCTTTCTTTCTCCGGCCTCAGCTTTAGGTAATAACCCAGTGTGGTATTCTAGTAACCTTGTCCTTTCATCACCTCACCTCGTCTCACCTCACATCACCTCACAATCGGGGCATCTGTTCCCCCTTTTGCTCCCTGATACGTGCTTTAGACGCCAAAATCTCGTCTTTTCACTCTGGCCAACGAAAGCACTATATGCTGGGCCTTCCTATTGGCCATTGGTCTCCTCCTCGCTTCCCCGACTCAACTGCCACTGCGACTGCTACTGCTACGGTAAATTGGTAATACTACTAGATTATAGCATCAACCATCTGGACGGAATGTTCTACACCTGTGGGTGGAGTCTATCTATGCACAAGCACCCCCCCTATCGTTATCCCGAGTCTCTCCCCCGAGTTCCTCTCACGCGCAGTTTGTCTCCGGCCTTGCAGCACACCTTGGCTGACCAGAGAGAACGACTTCGTTTTAGTCCAGGGGGTCCAGGGAAAAGCCGTGGATCGTTCCCCCCAATCGTCCTCGGACGGCAATCGCTCTCAGGACACGGCCGGCAGCAGAGCCGCAAAGAGCCTCCACGCCTGTCTCGAGTGTCAGCGCCGCAAGATTCGCTGCGACGGCAAGCAGCCGTGTAACCGCTGCCAGTCCAGCCGCTCCCGGAGGCGATGCGTGTATGAGCAACATCGCCAGCGTCTTGTTCCGTCAAGAAAGCATGTCTCTATGTTTCTTTGTTTCTTCTTCTTCTTCCTCTTCTTCCTCTCCTTCTCCTCCTTCTCCTCCTTCTCCCCCCTTTTCACTTGGCTAACCTCCCCTTTCTCGCTGTTAGGTCACTAGAGGAGCTATCACGGAGCCTTGAAGAGTGCCGCTCCGTGCTGCGGCGTCTCTATCCCACCCACGATGTCTCCCATCTACTAGCATTGTCACGCCAGGAGCTCCGTGACCTCCTAGATCAGCCGGTCCAGCAAGAAACCGCCGAAATCTCACCGGCTGCCCCCTCTCCTGATGATCTGGAGCAACAACAGCAGCAACAGCAGCATCATCCAAAAGAGCTTGTGCAGATGCCCGTCCAAAACTCACAATGGGATGAAGAGCGGAGGGAAAAGGAATCGTTGCCGGCGGAAGCTGATGATGTAAACGCCTTGTCTCTCAACATGGACAAACAGGCTGCTTCATATCTCGGCGCTTCATCGGTCAAGGTGGCTTTGACGGTCATGCTTCAGATCCAGCCTCAGCTACAAGTGTTGCTTGCAGCACAATCATCCCCCGATGCTTCTAGCGATGACAATGCGCGCAACAGCGTGCCTCTTTTCCGCGCAGTTACCAAATCCAAGGCGCATTCTCCCATTCCATGGACATACAAGGGGCAAGCTCTTGTCGATGCCTACTTCAAACGTGTCCACATTCTCACCCCCATATTGGACGAGGCCTCGTTTCGGAAACATTACAATCAAGGCCGAAGATGCGATGCCCCTTGGCTCTCCCTCGTCAACATGGTCTTTGCCACGAGCAGCATCATGTCCACACCCTCCAGTAACCTGAGCCACATCAAGTATTACAATCAAGCCATAGAACACATCCATCTTAGCGCGTTTGGGAGCAGCAACATTGAAACCATCCACGCCTTGGCCTTGCTTGGAGGCTACTACCTCCATTATATCAACCGCCCAAACATGGCCAATGCCATCATCGGCGCAATTCACAGAATGGCCACTGCCCTTGGTCTGCATCGAGAACCGTCACCCGAGGAACCTCAATCCGACCCTGCGGTCCTCGAGTCGCGGCGACGCACCTGGTGGACCATATTCTGTCTCGACACATGGGGAACCACGACTCTTGGGCGCCCTTCATTCGGGCGATGGGGACCTGCAATCAACATACAGCCGCCTCAACTGGTTACAGAGCAGGTATGCTCCCTTGAAAACCCCCCTTTTGATTTTTCTCTACTCTCACTGTGTTGTCGTGGACACAATTTTCATGTACTCTAATCGGCAGCTTCTGATTCCTTCTCTTCATTCTAGGAGGAGCATGACTCTGCACAATACGCGGGCATCATGCCTCTGCTCGAAAACATTAAATTCTGCAAGATTGCCACCAAGATTCAAGACATGCTTGCAGTCACCCCCCTCTTAAACGCGGAAGACCGAAATCATCTGGACAGCCTTCTTGTCGACTGGTTCAACAACCTCCCCTGGCTTCTACGCTCTACGGAGCCCTGTGTAGAGCCACTACATCTTTCACGATGCATCATGACATGGCGGTATTGGAATCTACGAATGCTACTACACCGCCCAGTCCTTCTTACTCTTGCCAGCAAGGCCGAACTGCCCGTGTCAGAGCCTGATATCGCTGCCGTGGAGATTTGCCAGGGCGCTGCTCGAGAGACGGTCGATAGCATTTCCAAGGGATGGATGCGCCAGCAAATGTCTGGGTGGAATGCTGTGTGGTTCCTGTACCAGGCGGCCATGATCCCTCTGGTAAGCATTCTGTGGCAGCCTGATAATCCGTCCGTCGTCCAATGGCAGGCCCAGATCGAGACGACTCTCGAGCTGTTTACAGCCATGAAGGATTGGTCCCTCACGGCACGCCGCAGTCGGGATGTCGTGAGCCGCCTGCTGGAGGCCACTTTTCAAATTTCAAACGCAAGACAAGGCAGCGGCCCTCACGATCCCGGCCTGCAAAAGGGGGTACCAAGCGATGAGACGGCTGGATTCTGGGGAGACCAGGGAGCCGAAGCACTCGCCTCGACTAGCTACAGCGCTGGGGACATTGTAAACATGCTGGACCAAGACTGGCCATGGAACATGGACATGGACGGGCTGGTCTGGGGGCAGCAGATCCCCCTGCTAGAGGAAGACAACGATGCTGGCAGCTACAACGTCGATGAGGGTGCGATGGGTGTGGATTATCTGTCGCTGGCGAATCCGGACAATGATGCCGCGCCGCCGCCATAGTTTTTTTTTTTTTTTTTTTTTTTTTTTGTGTGTTTCAAGTTGAAGAAAAGAGTTGACAAAATCACACCCAATGTCCATCGCTTGGTGAAGAGCAAACAGCTTGACAGTTTTCTCTCTCTCTTCATCACCGTGTCTTTCTCTGGACATGATTTCCGCCAAGACGTGAATGCATCTGCATTTGCTATTAAGGGGCGGTCCATTACTGTGCTGTCGGGTCTGACTAGCAGGGATCTTCAGCCGGTGTAAGACTCACTCGGCTTCCGAGCAACGCTACTACGCCTTTTATGCGAGTTAAAACCCCGCCAAGGACATTGCGAGTTCATTCTCCGATATTCAAAGCACTACGAAATAGACGAGCGCATTTACGCAAAGGATAGAACTGTCAAAGTTTCAACTTGCAAGCGTTCTTGAGATACGATTTATTGTCTTTATTTCCTCTGCGCATATCAACAAGGCGAACAGAAAGAGTGAGAGAGTGCGGGGAACAAAATAAGCAACACAGCGAAGCGAGCGTTACACGAGGCTTCGAAATGACAGACCAGGCTACCCGTGTCATCCGAGTCATTGTCGCCTCACGCAACAATGTCAAGATCTCAGCCGCAAAAGAGGCCTTTGGTGGCATGTTTCCGTCTGCGACATTCTCCTTCACCGGCCTCAACGTGCCATCCGGCGTCGCTGACCAGCCCATGACGGATGCAGAAACCCTGCAGGGCGCACGAAACCGAGCTCGCAACGCCCGCGACGCAGAGCCCCAGGCGGATTACTGGGTTGGCATTGAAGGCGGCGTCGACGACAGCGGGGATGCCATGGAGACTTTTGCCTGGGTCGTTGTGCTGGGCAGGGCAGACACGCCAGGATCAGACTCATCAGCGTCACATGATGAGTCGACCAGCACTTCAACAAGTGCTACCAAGGCCGAACGCATGGGGAGAGCGCGAACAGCCGCATTCTTCCAGCCCGAGGAGGTAGCAAGACTGGTCCGCGGAGGTATGGAATTGGGACCGGCGGACGACCAGGTGTTTGGAAGCGAGAACTCGAGGCAGCATTCCGGATCAATCGGACTGTTGACGGGGGACTTGATCAATCGGTCTGCATATTACGTACCGGCGGTGATTGGGGCGCTGATACCATTCAGGAACTCGACACTGACGTTTGTCGATTTTTGAGAGAGTGAACGAATACTGGAATAAAGGGCAGTCGACCATTTGCAGTGAAGAGAGAAGGTCATGGCATGCTGTAAAGGGCTCATGGGGAAGAGCTGACTGGGACTGAGGTGATGCTCGTCCTTGTTAAGAAGCAGGGACAAAAAGACATCACAGTGAACCAATTACAGTGAAGAGAAGTGGTCGTGGGCAGAGTATGCTTGACCAAGACTTGCATGCTATATTGCTGCTTTCATGCACTGTCCATCTCTGCAAGCCACGCGATTCGCTCTTGTGTGTCTTTCATCTACCGAAACGATAGATTACCACATACCACATCCCACAAGAGCCATCGATTCATAGCCATATACGGAGTACTATAGCATTTGATGCGCAGAGCCCCCAACTGGGCGACTGCTTTTGACAAAATAGACCAGGACTGTGTGCGAAGGAAGCACTAATCCGCTGTACAATTTTGCGCTTCTCTTTACAAGTGGTGAGAACAGCTGATATCAGCAAACCTCTGTCTCTCTGTTGTGGGCATGAACCATGACAAAAGGTCCAGCCTAACAACACGTTTCTTCTCGTCCATCGTTGATTATCGAGCTCGTTTACAGCATCCTAGGTCGCATAGTCTTGCCTCAATCTTCTGCAACACTACCCACTTCAACACCAACGTTTCAGCCCTGCAAGCGATGCGACAGAACGTTGGTTGTGTGGTTTGTCCCGTTTTAGAAATTCAAGTCGCACACCTCTTGCCCTCTGTCGACGAGAGCCGGCGTGGCTGTCCTCGAGGGATAGTGGCGGCATCTGCATGAAGCCACGGACAAGTGTTCTTGTTTAGCTTTTGGAGAAGAGCCCCCCAGTCGATGTCGTCTCTCCACGGCTGGGGTGTTCTTCTTTACTGGTTTGTGATAGGATGAATGATTGGAATGCTTTTTGCCAAGATCTGCCTGATTGGACGGCACTTATGAGGCAGAGTCTAAGCTTCCAAAATGCCACTACTTGTCGTCGTTCTAAAATAGGCCCTTGGATGAGCCTTTGTGGCGTTCAGATTGCTGCTTGCTGCTTGCTGCTACTGCCTACGCTAAGAGGGCGTGCTGTTACGAGATGAGGCATTCCCTCTGGCTGTGGTGTGCTGTTGGTCGATTGAGAAGAGCGTTTTGTGGCTATATTAGCTTGGAGAATCATCTAGCCTTTTCATCTCAAGCCACCACGTTTCCCTTCGATTACCACGCCTCACCTCTTAGTGGGCGCCTAGATCTTTGGAGATGGGACGTTTAGGGCGCAAATCATGATCACCACACCCACTCCTCAGCCGGGCAATGATGGTCGCTGCCATCGACGGACCAGTCACGGGAGAGCACTCGGGAGGGCCGTCAATGCCACGTGGTGGAAGTTTAGCTACCTTTGCTCTGAGTTGAAGGGGCCTTTTTTGAGTTTCGATCTGTGGAGGTCAGAGGGTTTCCCTGCATCTTGGACAATAGAGGAGATCTGCGCCACAATAGCACGCTTCTTGTGTTTGAGAAAGCGCAAGCGCGGCACCAAAACGACCAGGGGTTCGGAGTCTGGCAAGCCTCACGAACTGGTCAAGTGTAAGGCGGACGAGTATGCCGGCCGTCTTTGACCCGATTCGGGCCTTGAAAGTCCGGATGTGAAGGGATTCACGTCTTTGGAGATGCGACGGGCGCCAAGACGGGGAGGCTCGGAGCGTCGTCTCGCCGGTATCTTGTCTGTCAAACGACTATGTGTGGGGGGTGGACGATTACGAGACAATTCGTGAGATGATTATCTGATTGCGGTGCCTCTTTGCAGATATCACATATTGCCAGTGGATGCTGATACATGTTTTGATACAACATGACAGCAATCTGGATCGATTGCAGATGAATATACTATCCGGAAACGGCAAGTGAGGTGAACATTCTATTGTTCCAGAAGCCCCAGCCACGGAGGAGAGGCATCAACGCCGTTTCTGCCACACAATGTCAAGTGATATCTTGCAGTGACATGCCACGCAACTCAGCTGCGGCTGGTCGGGGGTGGACAGGTAGTATCAGGCTCGCTAATGAGTTCAGGAATGAAGAGGAAGAGGAACCAACAGAGTTGATGCTACTCAAAATAGTTGAGATGTCACTGATGGGCAAGCCACCATGAGACAGACAGTCGTGGGCTTGACGGATGGGCGGCTTTGGGCTTCCACTGCGCTAGACCACGCGCTATCAGCACACAAACTGGCCTTTATTTAGAGGGCCTGGCGATGGCATCGTATTTCAACGCTCATGCTCGACGATACTTGTCTGTGAAGTACCGTCTCCTCCCCACTTGGCGGCGTGGCTGGAGGCGATTTACAGGGTCTGTCGCGATATCCTAGCCCTCGAGAGATGGAGACACGCCCACCCCAACTGAACATCAAAGTTGGAGAAGTTTTTAGTGAGTTTTCAGCGGCTGGCTTGGCATGCGGAGAAGATGAAGCTGGGCTGGTCGCCTTGACCAGCGCTTGGAGAATGTGAAGATGCTGAAGATGAGGAAAGCTTTGGAGGGGGGGCGTTGGCGCCCCAAACCACATGGCAAGGACACAAGCTGCTAGTTGATGGCACCAGAGTTTCCTTTGGCTTCATGAGTCGCTCTTCAGCTCTTTTTTGAGCCTGCCGTTTTCTTGAAGAGGGGGGTGTGCAAACGCAACTTTGAGCTTTTGTTGGACGCGGCTCATGCGGAGAGGGCGCTGGTTTGGGGTGTGGCGTTGAGGCTACAGAAAAGCTTCAACTCTGTCTCTGCGTGTGTCCTTTGGGCTGCTGCAACTGGAGTTTGATGATGGTAGTATCTTTGTTTGTTCTTGGAGGGAGGCTCGTGCAGAGGCTGAGCACGTGGCATTTTTTTGGTGATTTGCATGAGATTCTCGTTGCAGATGTCGGCGCCAAGGTTTAGAGTGACAGATTGGTGATGCGGGTAGCTCGAAGAGTAGCGTGCCTCATGAGTCGTGAAGCTTTTGATGAGATGCATCTGCCGAGCGGATGGCTTGTTGAAGTCTAGTGGAGAGTAGAGACTCCGATGGGCGATTTGCAGCCAGGCTTCTCTTTGAGGGCGAGCATGGAGGAGGTGGTTACTCAAGATGGTGATGAATCTTTGATTGCAAGGGACCTTTTGCGCGTGATGATGGTCTTTTCTTTTTCAGCACTGGAATTTCCATCATCTTGGGTTACACAGATATCCAATTTTCGGTGATGCCGCATTAGAAAGCAGTATAACCGAAGTTTTGGTAGGAGATGAGGATTGCAAGAGACAATTGGCGATGATGCACTTCCACATATGTCTCCATGTAGAATAAAGACCTGGGACTGTCCGTGAAACCACTTGCGATGATTCCTTCAATGTTCAACTTGTAAATTGCTGTCTTCATGCGTGTAGTAGCGTGCAATATAATAGTTGATAATTATGGTAGTGATAAATTGACGATTTTGTGTTCCCTCTCCTGAGACACATGATATCACCGATAAGGAGCTGCCCCTTCCTTGTGTTGCAGATCCTTGAACCATCGTGACGTCGCGAGCAATTGACTTTTTTTCCTTCCTTCATTTTCTCCTCCTCATATCCATCGGCTTTTGCTTTTCTAGAGTCCGCCGTGCTCTTTGGCCTATTCAGTCGGAAATGAGCGTGTATCATCACCACATCCGCCGTGTTGGAAGGCGTTTCGAGCAGTGAAATTCGAGCAGTGACAGCGACGACGAAAGGACAGTCCGTTTCTTTTATACCGGCTTCCAAGCTACATGAGTTCAACCCTTTATCCATCATCTTCTTCGCCGTTTGCTGATTCAGACTCTCTACCAGCAAGCAACAGCCCGCCAATTGGTCATACAGTCAACGATGTCGAGGATTATCCAAAAGTATTGCCGCCTTGTGCTGCAATCTCTTCATTATGGAAGAAGATTCATGGAAGATTACTGCTTGCTCGCGTCACACGTCACAAAACATACGGGAAAATTGTTGAAATGGAAATTTCCATTTCAGTCTCTCAAGGGGCCCTCCTGTACCATGGCTGCGATTCTGAAAACCCTTCCATCCATCCCAAAACCCATCCCAAAACCCATCCCAGTTCCGTCCCTATATACAAATCCCATTCCACCTCTATCCGTCCCAATGATTATCCCCAAATTCCACCTCTTTCTTCCTCCCAATTCCAGCCCAACCCATCGCCCCAGCCCTATTCCAACCCAGTCCCGAATCCCGTTCCTAACCCAAACCCAATTCCTTCCAGTCCATCCTGGCCCGGCCCAATATCCAACCCAATCCGTCTCTATCCTTTGTGCCATGGTAATTCCTCCACCCCGCAGGAGGGCCCCGAGGACCATTTTTTTTGGGCAGGGGCCGCATACCATGATCTTGCCCAAACCCTTTGACAGGTTCATCTGATGGTATGCGGCCCCAAGATTCTCCTCACACGAGGTGAGAAGGGTTTTTTTCCCGTTGAAACTCCTCCACCATTTCCCCCACACGTCCCGACCATGATCCTCCGCTCTATAACAAGTCCCAAGCCCAATTCCTCCGCCCGTTTCCCCCTCTCAGCCCTGCCTTGAGTCCTCCACAGTGTTTCCCAGTTCCCATTCCTCCAATCCCCACAGTCCATCTATTTCCCATTTCCCGTTCCCAATGTCTCTCCTCCATTCTATCGTGCTGGATTCCTTCATCCAGTCACGGCGGGTTTCGATGGACTGGTTCAGTTTATTGACATGGTGAACTAGTCCATCATTATAACGCCCGACTTAACAGAGTTGCGCACGCAAGTGCGGGCAGCAGTGTTCTGAAACAACGGCGTTATAATACCCATGAAGAAAAAAGAAATACCCAAGTTGCAAGTCGGGCATGTCGAGACCTCGTCAAAAACAGGGGAGAAATAGGCAGTTCTCCAACAACCCTTGGGACAAAGGTCTCGGTATATGCTCTGGCCCCTCCCAGGAGCACGAGATGAAGGTTGAGAGAGCGTGGATTCTCCCGAAAGGGGCTATGCGTCGGACAAAGTCCAAACG